CGACTTTATTGCCACGGGGGCGATGGACTGCGAAGTGCGGCTCTCCAGCATCACCAGAGGCGTCTGCATGTGGGCCTGCTGCTGCTGCTGCTGCTGCTGCTGTTGCTGCTGCTGTTGCTGCTGCTGTGGCTGCTGGCGCTGCTGCGGTTCTGGGCGTCAGTTTGCGCATTTGCTGCTGCTGCTGTTGCTGCTGTGGTGGGTGCCGCTGCTGCTCCTCCATTTGAACAATGTTTCCTGATGCTGCCTCTGCTGCTGCTGCTTTTGCTGCTTTTGCTGCTGCTGCTGCTGCTGCTGCTGCTGCAGCTCTCGCCACAAGTGCCACTCGAGCCAGGTCAAGCACATTGCTGCTCTTCCCCACGGGTCCCGAAACCTCTGGTGGTCTGCCAGTGAAGATGGTGCTAAACCCTAAACCCTAAACCCCAAGCCCTAAACCCTAAACCCTAAACCCTAGGCTGCAAGAAGGCAATGGACAGCGCTGCCTCCGAGTGTCTTGTAGCTCAGCCGGATCTAACTTTCCCTTCCAAAAGCCCGTCTCTGCCGAACCCTAAACCCTAAACCCTAAACCCTAAACCCTTTCTTAAGGTTTTCTCTGCAGGCACCATCCGGCAGTTCGACGCGAGGGAGCCGCGCGTTTGCAACGGAAGGAATTGCCGCAACGTGAGACCACTAAACCCTAAACCCTAAACCCTAATCCCTAAACCCTAAACCCTAAGCTAGGTGTCCCAAGGCCTTGGCAGCAAAATGCCGCTGGCTGAACGCCAGCAGCCGCAGGGTGTGAGAGGGATCTTAGGGTTTATCTTTTAGTGTTTAGCTTTTAGTGTTTAGTGTTTAGGGTTTAGTGTTTAGGGTTTAGGGTTTAGGGTTTAGGGTTTAGAGTTTAGGGTTTAGGGTTTAGGGTTTGCGCAGGTTTTGATATCGCTGTCTTCTGAATCTGGGAAGCGTTCTGAGGGGCAGCGGTCACAAGACCGCTTCTTAGCTCGAGCAGCAGCAGCAGTCGCTGCTGCTTCTGCTGCAGTGCAGCAGCAGCAGCAGCTGCTGGAGGGGGCGGCGCTCAGGCGCGGGCTGCGGGGAAGGCCCCGAGCAGCAGCAGCAGCAGCAGCAGCAGCAGCAGCAGCAGCAGACGGGAGCCCCGACCCCCGAGAGCCGCGGCGGGCTCGCACTCGGCTGTCACCCTCACAAGCAGCAGCAGCAGCAGGAGCGGCGTCAGCAGCAGCAGCAGCAGCACC